CGTCCGCCATTCCGAGAATGGGGGCGGAGTGAGATGAGTCAACCTCCATGCTGACGACCATGTCCCATCTAGTTTGAACTGCTCCACTGCTCCCAGAAGTAGCAATAAGACCAGATGGGCTTTGGCGGTTTCGCCTGCACTGAGCAAGGTCAGAGCTCGCCCCATGTAGCCCAGTGTTCTTTCCGAGCCAATGGGGAGCTGGTCTTTGATGTATTGCTGCATCGTGGTTGGCCCTGCTGAGGCCTCGCCTAAGGTCTGGGCAGCCAAGCTTTGGATGGCGCTGACGTATGCCGGGCACGCTCTCCATCGCCATGCGAAGCTTCTCTAGCAGCATTGCGCCCTTGGCCCCGCTTAGCCGCCTCAAAGGATCCACCTCGTCGCCCTCCGAGTCGGACCCATCTAGGGGAAGGCCTGTTGCTTTGACCTTCGGCTTCTGCTTCCTCTGGTTCAGAAGTCCCACCAGGGCAGACTTCAGCAGCTGGTCCGGGGCAGCTCGTCGCCACCCCCCCTCGGACTCCTCGATGCTTTCGCCGCCTAGCGCCTCTCCCGCCATCGCTTTGGTTTTGGGAGCTGCTCCGACCAACTGCTTCGCTGAGACCAATGCCGAGGGCCCTTGCGAGCCAGCCGTCGCCTGCGATGTTTGCCCCGCCTTGACCGCTTCCAGATCGTCCTGAAGTCGAGTGACCAAAGCCGCAGTCGCCTGAGTTTGAGCCAGGATCTGCCCAAGCAGGTCGTCCGACGGTCCCACTGTGGGGGGGGAGGTCCCTCCCCCGCCGTGTGGTATGCCTCTGAGTTGGGGCCCTCCCGTCAGAACCCATTCCCGAGCAGCTATCACGAGTTGATCGTAGTTGCGGGTGCGATACATGGACTCTGCATTGTGAGGCCACACCGTGTTCTGAGGCCAGTTGGGGTTCGGTCCCCCTCCCAGAAGATAACGGAAGCAAGCTGAGGGCCAGTCCAGCATCAGGATCTCCACTTCGCCAGCTTCCTCTTCCTCGTCGTCTGGAAGGCCTTCCACCCCCACCAACAAAGTGGGCCCCAGGGATTGTGTCACCCCCTCGACTGCACCAGCTTCCAACTCCTCCAGTGTCACAAAGCCCGCCGACACACCGATCAGCAGTCCGCCCTAACGACGGAGTATGGGAACCACGGCCGCTTCGCGAGATGCATCTCCTCCAGGAAACCGAAGTAGAAGCCATTCCGGATCTGCAGATGTCTCAGCTATGGGCAGGCTACCTGCCCGTCGCGCGCCTACAGCACGCCAAGGCATCACTGAGGTGAAGGAAGGCCCTCAAGGCCCAAGCCCACAATCCAAGCTTCAGCTTCGGCCTGCGAGGGGAAGGCTACTAGGCGCGTTGCCCGTTCCTTCCGCAGCAAAGTGTCAGCAGTACGCTTCCGCACCACCAACCAAGCTGTATGATCGACTCGGATACCCAACCAGCAGGTGTTGGCCAAGCCCCAGCTAGGAGGCCTGACTAAATCCTCGCAATTGAGATCCTTGTCTCGGCTTGCCACACCCGCCTCCCAAGCAGCAGTGATCCGCTCGGCCGGTTTGGCCCGTGAACACTTAGCACTCAGTCTGCCAGCAAGGCGATCGCGAAAGGCCGGAGCTAAAGTAGCAGGCTGTCCAACGACCTCCCACTCTGTAGGTTCAGGCTCCTGGGGCCGGTTCGGGAGCACTAGGGGTCTCAACAGTCACTGTCACCCGCACTGAGGAAGAAGCAGCAGTAGGTGTAGAGCGCTTAGGGCCCATGCAAAGCTAATCGCGATGCAACCTATATCCTGCCAGTCTATCCTCCGGTGCTGGGATGGGAACAGGTCTGGTAGCCTCCCTTACAAGTACCCACAACAGTTGCCTACAGCGCTGGGAAAGCACTAAGGTAGCGCACAAGGCCCCTGAAATGAATCCGCAAGCCCAGCAAAGGATACCCAACAGCAGGCTCTCGGCCAGCGAAGTACGAGGACAAAGATTAGTCCAAGTCAGGAGGCTACCGAGTACCCCTTGCCACATCCTCGAACGAACAAAGGCTACAGCAAGATCGTTTCGCTTAGAAGCATGACAGACAAGCTGCCCCAACTCTGAATTTTGTGCGCAAGAATTTTGCGCCGAGTCCACTTATCGCACAACCTGACGCAACCCGTGTCCTGGGCACAAAGCTTTGCGAAGGCACAGTACACAAGACCCTGCAAAGGACATATGGGGTGGTCGTGATGCCAGAATCGGATGTGCAGCAGATTTGCCCATCTTGGGGCTTCAGGAACTTGTTTCCTTGCACCCTTTGAGGCGGACCCTCGCGAGTTCATTTCGCAGCAGAGAAGCCTCCTAGCTCAACCCATCTCATCAAGGAACGCGTGTCCCTCGGCCGAGCCCGCCTCATCAATGTCAGACCGCTCAGAGAAGCGCAGAAGACGGTATGCTTGCGGGGCCACTGCGCAGCGAAACTGCATTTTAGGATGGCAGCCCTTCTAAAGCTTCCCATATCGTTTCTGGCAACGCTGCAAACTGCAATGCTTACGTATAGAGGGTGGACATGCCTAGCGGGGTCAAGCCCCAGGAATTTGTCTGGATAAAGTCTCGGAGCATGATCCCATATAGCAGGACCTTCACCATCAGCATTCCAGACCAAAGCAGGAACTACTTAGGGATGCTTCGCCTTGGTGTCACCCGGCATATGCTTTGGAATCAGCCTGCCTTCCCGGTGAAGATTCAGGTCTTTGCTCGAAGAAATGCCTCCAGCACAGGGTGGGCGTATCATGTGTATCCCTCTGCGTGCCTGTGATGGACAGTATGTCGATTACTGTCTCGTTCTCAAGGGTTCCTCTCTTGGTAATTTACTACACCCTAGGATCTACACAGAATATCGTGTTTCCACCTGGAGACTCCAATGGTCACTTTGGTCCTGGCATTCAATGTCTACCTCATCGCGTGCCAAATGGAGCCGGAATCCAAGAAATCGGACCTGCAGTGCGGTAGACCGGCAGCGGACATTCTGCACTGAGCATGGAGAGCTTTACGCAAAAAGACCAAAAAACATGTGCTGTGAGAGAACACCATGAGCAGAAGACAGGTGAGATTTAGACATTGGGACAGATCTGCCTTGAGAAAGCAACGTTTGGGAAGCAAACGGAATGGGGAACGAGTGAGTCGGGGCACAGCTGCTCACACTAGTTGAGATTTGCAGAGCCGCTAACGTCTTATGCAAAGGCTGGAGCAGTGGTGCATGAGAACATACACTCCTCAAGTAGGAAAAGCTTCGTGCATCTGTGCGCCATGCTCCTCACGCAAGCCTCCTGACGTTGACGAATTCAAAGCTGAACATCGTGGCATGAAACACCTTGGTTGTTCTCGCGGGACCTACCATGGATGGAGGAGGTCTTGCTACCGGCAATTTGCAGTCTGTCTCCCTTGCACTGTGCACCTTTAAATGAAATGGCGCACAGGCATAGGCACCGTTTGCAAGGCGGACTTTGAGCCTGTTTGGTCTCGTTGGAAACTGGTGGCGAGTCACCTCTTTCGAACAAGGAAGTAGCAAGAGGAACATCTCCATGATGAAGGGGCTGGGCAAATACTTACTACATGGACGTGGGCATAGAGAACATGAGACAAGACGGCCTCTGGCGCACGCTGTGCCGAGTTGGAACTGTCGAATGAGGCCGAGCAACTACCGCGCGCACCGCTTTGGGCAAGTTAGCACAAACAGCCAGCGAGTTTTGTTGCCGCAAGCAGCCCTACGAGCGAAGGAACGCGCATGAACGGGCTGGTCAGGGTTTACCTTGCGCTGCGGAAAGCACTCCATTTTAACAAAACCGAGACATCACACTCGATCACTCGCAACAAAGGACAGATGGTACACTGTAATTGGGATTGGCCGCCAACTGGGAGACCACAGTGATACCGAGTTCGAGTTCGTGGGGTCGATTTTTTCACGATGCGAAGGCAACGCGTGTACGGCGAGTTGATGGAAGGCCTTGCTGCACCTCGGAAAACATCTGTTGGCTCTGAGTTGGCTACCAATCTGAGTTGGGAGCAAAAATTGAAAGGGCACCCATCTTGGGACTGCCTCATGCGGCCTGAGTTGGAGGCTTACCCCACTTCGTGATGCGCTGTTAAAGTGGAATTGATGCTTTTAGTGTGATGCCACCGACTTGAAACTGCCAGAAGCTTGCAGAAAAGCAAGCCATTGACTTTTTGGGGGCATTAGCTTTTGCGTAGCTCACAACGCTTCGACGATTCCGAGTGATGACCATGTTGCAGAGCAGGGTGTCCAGCTTATCCAAGATGGAGAAAGTGTCTCGCTCTCGAGTTAGTTCGGAGCCAAAACCTCCAGATGTTTCGAGATTATTTGCGTCGCGCGTCGCGCAGGTCTGACGTGGCCGCCACACTTCTGCAGCACCATTAAGTCTTAGACAGCTCCACACACACCAGCTCTTCGGATTTTGCTCCCAAGAGATTGGATAGGCATCGCAGGCCCTTGTCGCCGCATCGCATGTTGTGCATCACAGCGGCCTCTGTGTTTAAGGAACAAATTGAAAAAAGGCGAATGTATACTCCATGTCTTCACCACTACACGACAGGGAGATGTGTACTACATTGAAGGGTCGGCTGCGCTGCAGCCATGGGTTTCAGGCTGGCTGTGCACTTGCGACGCGGCAAGACGGCCATGATTGTTTCGTAGGCAAAGGTGACAAAACGATCCAATCCCTGTGGAACTGGCGCTTCCACTCTGCTGTGAATTCAATGACCCACATTGGTTTCCGGGTCGTAAGGAATACGTAATGGGAGCTGCCATGCGCAGTATCCCAGCGCACAGCAGGATCCATTCTACAAGTTGTCTCTCACCTGCGCAGCTCACAATCCTAGCATCTTCTGTTTTGTGGCAGGAACTTCCGCTTGCCTCAGCCGACATTGAGAAAACATTAGCATGTGGAACACCCGCATGTCTGGTAGAGCCTGCTAGAGCATGGCTAGACCCAACTCATTCTTCACTCTATGCAATGTTCCTCTCCTCCTGATGCTTCATGTGCAAAACTTGGTCATTGCCAGCAGAGGCAAACAAGTGCAACTGTGGTTCCAATATCGTTGCGACCACAAGCGGAGCCATCAGTCAAGTGGTTGTACTTTGGAGGGAGAAGCTGAGCTTCAGCTTCATGTTCGAGAGCGGGGAACTAGTGCCCGATGCTCAGATCCGTGTGTTCAAGGCTCGCAACTTGGCAGGATGCTTCAGACCAAGCCTCCGAATGGAGGCATTGACCAGCTTCTGGCCGCAGCATAAGATCAAGGGTTTCAGGCTTGTGCCCCTAGAGTTGTACCCCTGGGTTTTGGCGGGACTACATGGGCTCATATCAGGGCTATACTACGGCCATATTGGGCAAGGCTTTTAGGGGTACGACCTTAGGGGTACAACCCAGGAACCCTCGATAAGAAGCCGCTTTTAAACTGAGGCTCGCCATCTGCTTGCCGCTTTGGCTGTGGTGGCCTGCTGCAGTTGGAGGCGACACAGCCGCAACGCATGATGATGAACAACATGGCTGACAGCAATATAGGCTTTAAATTCATCAGATGAAACAAGTAAAACCGCATCTTCAAGATTCAAAGTGGCGCATCTGCAGCGCCAGTGAGCCTGCAGCTGAAACCGATCCGAAGCAGGCCTGTTGTCGCTCATGGACTCTGAGGCGTGGTTGCGAAAGTTGCTACGTGGCCCCTGCTTTCAAGACGAGAGGCTCGGCAAAATGGTGTCGCCATTTACGTGGTCCTGACTTCATGTGATGCCTAGAAGATGCCTCAAGCCATCGCGAGCACCTGCCTTCCAGAGACGGCGCCGGCACATGCATAGAATGGTCAATGTGCTCGCAGTGGCCAGGCCGGACTTGAACATGACATCGGGGTCCTCAGGTCGTACCCACAAGATACGCCTTCGAACAAAGTCCTTGACTTTTGAGAGGCTCTAGTCTGACCTTGAAATATGCAGCGCAGCATTCCTGCCGTGCACAGTGCAGAACTTTCACGGTTCTCATCTGCTTGAGATGGCTGAATTCCGTTCGAAACTTCAAATGGGGATTCAAGTTGGCGGACGTGCTTTTAGTTTGAGGCACTGCCTTCCTACGCACTCTGGTTGGGAACGGTTGTGGAAGAAGAGCTGAGCAAAGAGCAGTAACGGGGACATTTGCGCAGCCTGAGCCCGCAGCACCTACTTCCAAGCACTCGACAATTTAAACTGAAGAACAGGTCTTTTATACCTTCATGCTACCTCTGCGAACAAATCATGCCGG